TAAGGGCTAGTACTAGAAAATTCAAAAAAAAAAAAAACCACAAGGATAAAGCTTCACAACAGTAGATATGGCAATGATTTCTTGGATAAGATATCAAAGGCACAGACACAAAAGAAAACAGACAAATTGGAGCTCAAGAAAATTAAAAACTTTTGTGTATCAAAGGACTCAATCAACAGAACAAAAGGCAACCTACAAAATGGGAGAAAATATTTGCAAATCACATTATCTGATAAGGGATTAATATCCAGAATAGAGAACTCTTAAAACTCCATAACAAAAGTAACAACCCAATTCGAATTGGGCAAAGGGCTTGAATAGACATTTCTCCAGACAAGACATACAGACGGCCAATAAGCACATGAAAAGATGCTCAACATCACTAATCATTAAGGAAATGCAAATCAAAACCACAATTAGATACCACCTCATACCCATTAGGAGAGTTATGATTAAAAAAATGGAAAATAAATGTTGGCAAGAATGTGGAAAAATTGGAACCCTTGTGCATTGTTGGGGGGGAACGTAGAATGCAGCTACTGTGGAAGACAATATGATGATTCCTCAAAAAATAAAAAATAGAATGACCATATGGTCCAGCAGTTATACTTTTGGGTGTATACCCAAAAGAACGGAAAACAGGGTCTTGAGGTATTGTACATGCATGTTCATAGCAGCATTATTCACAATAAAAAGGTAGAAGCAACCTAAGTGTCCATGGACAGGAATGGATAAACCAAACATGGTATATACATATAATGAAATGTTATTCAGCCTTTAAAAGAAGGAAATTCTGGCACATGCTACAACAAGGATGAAACTTGAGGACATTATGCTGAGTGAAATAAGCCAGTCACAAAAAGATAAATATGATATGACTGTGTGAAGTACCTGGAGTAGTCAGATTTATAGAGAAAGAAAGTAGGATGATGGTTGCAGGGAGCTAGGGGAGGGGGAAATGGGAAGTTATTGTTTTATAGGAATAGAGTTTCAGTTTTGCAAGATGAAAAAGAGTTTTGGGGATGGATGGTTGCACAGCAGTATGAATATACTTAATACCACTGAACTGGGGGCGCCTGAGTGGCTCAGTCGTTAAGCATCTGCCTTCGGCTCAGGTCATGATCCCAGGGTCCTGGGATCGAGCCCCGCATCGGGCTCCCTGCTCTGTGGGAAGCCTGCTTCTTCCACTCCCACTCCCCCTGCTTGTGTTCCCTCTTTCGCTGTGTCTCTCTCTCTGTCAAATAAATAAAAATCTTTAAAAAAAATACCACTGAACTGTACATTTAAAAATGGTTAAGATGATAATTTTTTTATTATGTTCAATTAGGAAATGGTAAATTTTATATTATATATATATTTTAAAATTAATTAAAAATTCATTTATTAACCCATTCATTTTGCAGTGTCCTAGGCACTCTGCTAAGGATGAGAGATGCAATTGTAAACATGACCCCATGCATGCCTGCAAAGAATTTACAGGCTCATGGGACTGCCAGGCAGGTAAACATGGTGTACACAGAGCTGTGGGATTCTGTCAGAGGGGCACCTAAGTTTCCCATGTGTGTCAGACCCAGCATATATCTAAGAGAGAACAGAAGTGGGCAAAGCAATAAATGGTACAAGATCTGTGCTTATGGTTCATAATCAGAAAGCTTTCTCCTAGGCAGAGCTAGAAATGGTGAATCTGCTAATACCCAAGAAATTTGGTTCAAGGGCCAGAAAATAATTTGCTAGGAATATTACTGAGGATATTTCTATGTTGTTTAAAACATGTGAGGCTCATCCTTCTCTTTTGTTACTACTATGTCCAAATTGAATCTTTCCAAGGACTATTGATATTCGTTCACTCAACTATGCTATTCGTTCACTCAACTCCCACTTTTACTACCCTTGCCTGGGTTTCAACAACAGCCTCATCTTCCTACGACCAGAGGCCATTCCACTAATTCATTCTTTACAGTGCGGCTAGTCATGCCCTACTTAAAACACTTCAGTGGTGGGGTGGCGGGGCGCCTGGGTGGCTCAGTTGGTGAAGTGTCTTTGTTTGGCTTGGGTCATGATCTTGGGGTTCTGGGATCAAGCACCATGTCGGGCTCTCTGCTCAGCGGGGAGTCTGCTTCTTCCTCTGTCCCCCCCCCACCCCCACTCATGCTCCCTCTCTCAAATAAAGAAATCAAATCTTAAAAAAAAAGACAAAACACTTCAGTGGCTCCACATTACCCTTAGAATACTCCAGACTCCTTAATGTGGTGTCTTAGTTAGCTCAGGCTGCCATAGCAAAGTACCATACACTGGTGGCTTAAACAAATGGGATTTATTTCTCATTGTTCTGGAGGCTGGGAAGTCCAAGATCAAGGTGCTTGCCACTCTGGTTTCCTGGTGAGGTCCCTCTTTCTGACTTGTGGAAGCCTTCTCACTGTGCCTTCACATGGTAGAGAGAGAAAGAGCACTCTGGCCTCTCTTACTCTTCTTATAAGGACGCTAATCCCATCACGGGGTTCCCACCCTTATGCCCTCATCTAATACATATGAATTTTGGGGGTACACAAACACTCAGTTCCTAATATGTAGCTTCTATAGCCTTTCAGGGTCCCTGTTTTCCTCTTCATCCCCATCTCTCTCATTGCTTCCCTTGAGGTTTGCAACCCATTCATACTGACAACTGGCAAAACTTGGATGCCTCTTGTTCTTGCCTTGTTTCTGAGCCTTAGCACAAGCCATTTCCTCTCCTTAGAATGAATTTTACCCACCCTCTTTTTGCTTAGATAACTCCTATTTGTCCTTTAGGTGTCTTCCTTCAAGAAGCTTCCTGGCCCCTAAACCAGGTCAGGTGTCCCTAATCTGTGTCCTTGCTCTTAGGTGCCTTATGCAGATCTGTAGTGTGGCTTTTATCACTCTGTATGGCTTATTTGTCTTTCCTGCCCCCCCCCCACCACCCTCCACCTCAGTGAGCTCCTTGAAGGCAGGATGGGCCTTGTTCGTCTCAGCACCTAGTACAATGTGTGGCTTATACTGTATGTACAATGAATGTTTTCCTTTGTATAGCACTCAGCAGTTTTCAAAGTGTCCTGACAGAAATTAACTCATCTATAGAGATATATTTCCTTAACATTCATTCCTTCTGAATAAAATATTCCTTTAAAAAATATTACCTTTACTCACAAGATTTATGTGAAGTCAATTATCCCTTATGTCTCTAATGTGACTGAGTTGGGGCCAAAACTATGTCATTTTTGCTTGATACACTAGAAGAGTTTGAGAAAAAGCAGATTTCCTCTTTCTTTTTTTTGAGAGTGAGTGAGTGTGCGTGTGCAGGAAGGGAGAGGGGCAGAGGGGGAGAGAGAGAGAGAATCTTAAGCAGACTCCTTGCTGAGCAAGGAGCCTGACACGGGGCTTGGTCTCACAACTCTGAGATCATAATCTGAGCTGAAATCAAGAGTCAGACTCTTAACTGACTGAGCCATGCAGGCACCCCAAAGCAGATTTCCTCTTAATGACTTGATGGAGTAGGTGTCTGTGGGTGTGCTATGGGGGGATGGGTACACAGAGCTAAGAAGCCAGCTTCCCTGTGTGGCCTCAGCTGGTGATCTGACCATTTTGCAAGATCTCATCCCTGACTTCCTTGTGGCAGAAACTGGGGGCCAGAACTAGGAAGGGCTTGCATGCTGTGGCTTAGAGGAAGCTGTTTCAGTTCTTAGAATCACTGAACTTTAGAGCTTTAGGTCATTTGGTTCAACTTCTGCCTTTAAAAAGTGGGGAAAGAGATCTAATATTTTGCCCAGGAAACTGTAGAAGACCTCCCACCAATCTTGTTTTCCTTTCTTCAAAAGCCTAGACTCAGAGGTCACTAAGGTGCTGCTCCCAATCAAAATAGTTCTTAGTAGAATTGATCCTCTCTCTCTTTTGGTATCATCATCCGAAGAGTTTGCTCTGGATAGAGGATGTGTTGATATTGCTGTGGAGAGGGCGCCTGGGTGGCTCAATTGGTTAAGCGGCCGACTCTTGATTTCGGCTCAGGTCATGATCTCAGGGTCCTGGGATGGAGCCCTGCATCAGCCTCCTTGCTCAGCAGGGAGTCTGCTTGAGGATTCTCTCTGTCCCTCTGCCCTTCCTCCTCCCATTGCTCGTGCTCTCTTTCTCTTCCTAAAATAAATAAATAAATCTTTAAAAAATATATTGCTATGTATCAGAAATTCATAGAAGACATAGTTCCTGGCCCTAGGAATTCACAAACTGAGACTGGGAGTTTAAGAATGATTTGCAAATGCCAGTCAAGTCAAAAGAAAAAGTTTTAAATATGGGTTTTATTTGAAAGTCAAAGCAGACATTAAATAAAAATAATCTTTATTTTTTTGTTTTTATTTGGACTTTCCAGTTTGTGTATGTTGATAATCTCAAATTGTAATTTAAATTTAGGAAAATGCTGAGAGTGAGTGGACATTTGCTTTTTCCTCAGGGATGCAGGGAGGTTAGAGTGGGGAGGGAGGGATTACGTTGCTGGGCACTTCTGCAAAGTGGGGGGTTGTTATTTCCACTTGTCTGCTAGGACCCCGAGGTACTAGGATTCCTGGTGATTAGGTTTTTGCTAAGGTGAGGGGAGGGGACATTTGACCCCAGTTCTGTTATTAGCATCACATAAGCTGCTAAGAAGCAGAAGAAGACTGACATTCTGGGTCCTCATTATCAGCCTGAAAGAGCTTCAGTGAAGTTCAGAAGGAGGT